GAGAGAGAGAGAGAGAGAGAGAGAGAGAGAGAGAGAGAGAGAGAGAGAGAGATTTCTTGGAAAGATGTGCCACCACCCCAAATCCTCATACTAGATCTGGACCTAGGCAGACACAGGATGTGAATTAGGATAATGGGTCATGATTCCTGGTTTTGACCACGTGGCTTAAGCAAGCTGTTTAGCCAGTCGGAACTGTGGATATTGTAGCTTCCAAGTAGCACAGTGAGCTACTGCATATCTAAGATATGCTTTCTGCATATCTAAGAATGGAGACAGCTCTCTACAGAGAGGGACTCCGTGGGGCTCCAGCTCCAGGATGCCCTACCTAAGAATCTGTGACCCTTTTATTCCTACTTGAGTCTCAGACCCTCAAAGCCTGCCACCCTATGTCTTCCCATCTAACGCTCTGGAGGCTCTCCCTAAAGGTAAAACATGTGGACTTAACCCCCAAATATACAATATTTTATGACTGTTAATGTAAAGACAAGTGCCAAACAAGCTAGAATTGTTCTATTGTCATCACTGCCATCCTACTTCCTCTTATTACTTGGAAAGAAGCTAGTAGAATATTTTGTGTGTGTCTAAACATGTGATAGACACTTGGCATTGATCCTGCCGCATCTGATAGGAGGCCAGCTATTGGCTCTTAGCTCTCTAGTAAGATAAGTAGTGATCAACGGTTCACAAATGACTTACGCACACACCCCCAGGGTTTCATTAAAGACTCTGTGTCCTGAGGTCTTCTGGGGTTTGGGAGGAAGTTCTGAGCACACAGATAGAGCCCGTGCCTTGCAGAGCTCACAGAACTAAGAATCAATGACACATCAGCACTAAGGGTTTTGGGTCTTGAGAAAACAAGAAACAGGGATTCTTCGAGCCCTGGAGAAAACAGAGCCAGAGAGCTGCAAAGGAGACAGGAGAAAGGGAGATACACTTTAGGGATCGGCAGGAACAGCCTATCAGATGTGTCCCTTGGATTGAGACCTGCATGGGAGAAGAAGACAGCTGTGAAACGGGGACATCTGAAGGAAGATGGAGCTATTGGAGCCAGAATGGCAATGGCTGTCTGCCAGACCCAGGACGATTATATCCTAGGAACCTGAGGAATAGTGGAGGGGACTGAGAAAGACGCAAAGGCGGGGGAGCAGTGATGTGTGATCCCCATGGATATTTAAGCAGTAAATGATGGTGTCGACAGACCCCTTTCAAAATGAAAACACAAGCATCTTCGTGGCCAGTCAAGACCCTGGGGATTGTTGGGTAGTGGGGAAGGTAGAGACTGGACAGTGGTGCTGTAAACATGCAAAGAGGTCCTCGTCTTTTCAGGAGGACCTAGAGAGATGGCCTAATTTGAGTGTGTTCAGAGGATGGTTCTGGTCTACCTCTCATTAGAATGAAAGCCTGGCAGGAAGAAGGTACCCCTGGGTAAGCAAGAGTGTGTACAGAGGAAAGAGATGAATGGGACATGCATTAGCTGTGAATGACTGGCAGCCTTCAGGAGGTGGGGACATCTGAATAGGAGGCCTGCGGCTTGGGCTGGACACAGAGTTAGACCTCTCTAATTTGATCCTGGGTGTCTCAGCGAGAGGCCTCATCTTTACATCAGTGAGGGGGAGCCACTGCCTTCAGGGTGTCCAGTAGTCCCCAGCACGGCTGGTAGAACACGAGGGTCCTGGTACTTGGACATCTCTGCCCCATCCCTCATGTTGGGGAGTAGAGACAAGCTATGCCTTCCAAGTGTCCAGCAATCCCACTGTGACTGTATATCCTTCAGAATCCCAGAATCCCAGAATCCCAGATGGTCGTCTCACCATCATGTCTGCATCAGTGCTGGGGCCTTGCAAAACACCTAGAGACGGGAAATGGACACAAGTGCCTCCCACCCCCGCTCATCAGTGCCTTTACTGAGGGCTGGGAGCTGGGCCAACAGACCAGGAAATTTGACATCCATAATAGTTCAGTCATCAACACTTGCACAGCCCTTCAGAGATCCACAGCATCCGCCTAAAGAAATGAAGATTTATTAAGCAAGAGAGGGGTCTTGTTCTGTGAAGCCAGACCCACAGGTCCCTCTTCATCCTGTAGTAAAGTGGTTTAGTGATGTGGGAGAATTGTCTGTATTCTGTCAATCATATTTTAATAAAACGCTGATTGGCCAGGCAGGAAGTATAGGTGGGAAAACCAGACAGGAAGTAGAGGTGATGCAATGAGAACAGGAGAATTCTGGGAAGCAAGAAAGTTCTTCTGCCACTCCTGCACAGACCACCGAAGAGGCAACATGTAAGCTGTCACACTGAAAAAGGTACGGAGCCATTATGGCTAACATAGATGAGAATAATGGGTTAATATAAGTTATAAGAGTTAACAAGAAGCCTGACCTAATGAGCCAATCAGTTTATAACCTTATGGAGTCCTGTGTGTAATTTCTCTTTGGGATTTGCCGGCTGTTGGGGTACCGGGCGGGACGGAAACCCCAACAAGCCGGCCCTCATGTTACAGTTTAGGGCCTGTAGGTTTTCTGTAGTTTTTTCATTGATGCTAGTGAAACTGACAGTTAATACAAATTTGCCTTTTACTAAGCGACCTAGGCCAGAGATTGAACAGGGTGTTTCCAACTGCCCTTCTGAACTCTAAAGACAACGCCACACGCAGCCTTGACTTTAGTTAACTCCAGACTGCACACGAGGAACCTGAGGACTCCTCATGCTGAGGACTGCAGGACAGGCCAAAGTCACACCACTAGGGAATGCAGAGGACTGAAAACCAAGCAGGGCTGCTGTCTCCAAGCAGGTCCTTCTGAGGGAGCCTCTTAGTTGCTCTTCACCTACAGCACAGACGACATAATGGGCTTCTACAGGTGACTGTCTTGTGCTCCAATCCTCTCAGAAGCCACCCAGGGCTGGACCACAGCATCCTCTACAGTTTATTGATACCAGGTTCAAAAGAGATGAAATCATCCTTCTAAGACCTTTCAAAGGCAGCTTGAGACTTGGACCCTCATATTGATTCCCAACTCAGTGTTCTTGTCACCACTCTGGGCTGTGCATCCCTGGGTCAATTTCCTTCCATGTTGTACTGTCATGGGTTTGCAGTGTAACTCTGGGTCATGATTAAGTTAGAGCCGAAGGAGGACTGGGTGTCCCCATGATAAGGCCTGGGCTAAATACCACCCTTGCTGGCTCACTGTATGTGGCCCTAAGGGGTACAGGCTCCACTGGTCTGAGATTGTAGCAGGAAATAGGGTGACACCATACCCAGAAATAGGGCTCTTGGAAGACTTTGGTGAAGCAGTCAGGAAATGCTTAATACCAAGCTGTAAGTGGCAGGAGGTATGTGACAGCTTTTGTAGCTATTTTGTTATGAGTAATTCCAGAAAATCATCCAATTCAGTTTCCCCCATGCCTTTGGAAATTTATGAAATCAGTATGATAGACAACAGATGGGTTGGTGAAAACCAATATTATCAGCCTACAGTAAATGAACGGTAGCCCCCAGTTTCTAATGATAAGAGCAAAGTGGGTGAATTATATTCATGTGGCGCTTTTTTGTGTGTGTGTGGGGGGGGTCTTGAGTGAACGTAGATATGTGGGTGAGGATGGAGTATGTTTGTGTGCTCTTACACAAACCTCTTCTTATTGTGGCTTTGGGGTCTGGTCACATCCACTGATATTTGGAAGCTGTCTTTGCCTGGGATGCTCATGTACTCACAACCGTGCTTAGCAGATAGTGACGAATTTCAGAGTTCTTTCTAAAACATCTATCAAGACTAAAGAAACATGGCCCTTTTGCATGCTAGCCCCCGTGGTCCTCCTCACTGTCTCCTGAGGCTAGTGTGATGCACCTGGGACATGCCTTCCATCAGTCATCCCTCAGGTGGGTAGGCCAGGCTCCTGTCCTACAGGTGGGAACATGCTCCTTAGCTCGCCAACATGCGGCTCCTGGTGTCCTGATCCTGTGCTGAAAGGAGTTTATAGAGCAGTGTAAACACACCAGGGCCTGCCATTGTATGGGCTCGTGGTATACAGAAACTCCTGGAAACACGTAAACATACATGCATCCTGAGCCTGTCTGGGGATCAGGCATCTTGGCCTCACTCCCAGACCTGCATCTTCTGCCCTCCATCTCCAGAAAGGAGAAAACTGAGACCAGAAGGTAGGAGCTGAGTTTCTCCACCGCACAGTGTAGTCAGCTGCCAGCAAAGAGCAGGGCAGGGAGGCTGAGAGGGACAAGAGTGACCACTGCTCCTGAGCACTTAGGCCTCCCCTCAGCCCAGCAGGGCAGCTTCATTGTCTGTCTCTCCTAAAGCAGGCCTGGCCCTAGCCTCATCTGTGTACCCTTGCCCATGTTAAGCTTCCTCTGTGAGGCTCTGGATATCCACTTAAATGTCCCTGTCTCTGCCCACTGGGACATAGCCTAACAGACAGGGGAGCAGGACCTTATGGTCCCAGACACTTCCCAGGCAATGGAGAACTGGCCCAGAGGAAGAGTGTGTTCTTAAGGTAACACTATCTGCTCATATTCTGAACGACCAGGGCAGTATATGGGAGGGAACAAAATGTCTCACACCAGACCACAGCTAGGTACACGCCAGCTAAACCTAGCCAGATAAATCCAGAAAGAGGCAGCATGTGGCCCAGTGTTAAACAGCGGTCAGGACTGAGACGGACTAAGTGGGATTGGCTTCGCATCCTTCTTTTAACCCTGGAAGAAGGCACTCCCAAGTTCAGATGGGCAAAGGAAGGCACAGGTGGGGGAGAGCCACTTGCTTAAGGTCACACAGTAAAGAGCAGGTGGAGCTGGAACAAGTGCAAGAGCTTAATGCTGTGCTTCTCTGGGAGAAAATTCTAGAATAATGCTTGAAGGACACACTGTGTACCTTTCGGGATATGATTGGGAAAATCCACATCTTTCTCTTTCCTTCCTCTCCATCCTATTTTTCAAAGCAATTTGAAGAGAGACAAGGCCGAACCAACAGCAAAACAGCCTTTTACCAGGCACTGCAGAACTCGCTAGGGGGGGAGGACTCGGATGCCCGCATCCTCGCAGCCGCCGTATGGTATTACTCCCTGGAGCACTCCACAGACGACTACGCCTCCTTCTCGCGGGCACTGGAGAATGCTACCCGGTAAGCCAGGCCCACCAAGCAAGACGGGGCACTCAATATGCCAGTTCGTGCAGGGTGTAATTCCTCTGCCTACTGTGGATGAGGGTTCAGAGGCTTCTCCAATCTCGACAGAGGCCTGGGTCATCATTGAAGCTCAGGGTATCCTCAGTACCTTGAAGTAGCTCTCGCTGATGGGCCTTCAGACCACTTGGGAAGGAGACATGATAAGGCCCAAGGGTGCAGATATGTGCTTAGCTCTATACTCAACTCCACGTGTGATCAGAGCCTACTCAGCACGTGGGACTGGAGACCTACTAGAAAGTTTCCATCTCTTATCCAAGCAGGATGAGCCCAGGGTTGTCAAGCCTACGTGAATCCTTTCCTTGAGATGCTGTTGTCCCCTGTTGATACAGTCCCCTCATCCCCACTCATTATTCAGGCTCCTTTCCTGAGAAGCATGTCTTGTCCCAACCCCAAGGAAACTGAAGACTGCTCCCAGTCTCTGCTGTCCCTAGTGTCCCTCTGTCACAGCACTGTATAGGAAGGACTGCACCATTAATTCACTGAAGTCATGCGCAACGTTCTTTTTTAATTCATGTTCATGTGTATTTGCAGGTACATGTGTGAGTAAAGGTCTACATATGCATATGTGTGTTATGTATGTTTTTATGTCTTTATGTATGTATGTATGCATGCATGCATGTATGCAGCATGTGGAAGGCCAGTGGACAACACTGGGTGTCATCCTCAAGAATGCCACCCACCTCCTTTGAGATAGTCTCTTCCTGATCTAAAGCTTCCCACTTAGGCCAGACAAACTGGCTAGTGAGCCCTAGCGATCCTACTGCCTCCACCTCCCCAGAGCTGCAATTACAGTAACAGACCACCATCCCTGGCATTTTTACACAGATCTGGGGATCAAACTCGAGTACTCATGCCTGTGAGAGAAACACAGTTTTCGCTGAGCCAACTCTCTAATCACCAAACTTTAGTTTATGAGCAAGTAGGTAAAGTAGGACAACATTTAGAGTAAGGATCAAGGGGCAAACAGACCGCAGCCCTCTTCCTTCAGAGGCCCTGGGCATGTGACTCCCAGCACGCAAAAGACCTTGCTGGTTGTGTGGAAGGCATGGTGGTTTGTATTCTGGTTCCCCCACAGGGGAAAGCTGGACCCACACCTGTTCCTCTCCCTCCAGAAGGAGCACACTTACCTTGCTCTATGGTATGAGTACAGGGCCAGAGTCAAAGCTCCATCTTAATGCTCTCATTGACCGTGGCTGTCAGGAAGAATGGGCTGGAGGCCCTACATGGCCTCTCCATCCGGGAGAACATCACTCCACTTGGACAGTCTGCAGCAGTAGAACTGTGGGACATCTACTTGGAGCCTATAAAGCCTTTCTATGCCTCTTGGTGAAGAGCTCCACTCTAAACCAAGAAACCTATGGCTGACTTTGAAGCTGGACCTAGACAGACCATAAGAGCCCACAGAACACAGTTCCTCACTCGGAGTGACTTCAAAATGGACTTGGGGCTACCCCGGGTTTCACTAACGGATGAGCTTAGGCAAACTCAGGGTCTTACTTCAAACTTGTTATCTGGCCTTAAAGGCAACTTATTTCCAGGATAAGGGCTGAGATCTAGTAATACTCAACTGGGGAACTACAGCCCTCACAGCTCAGGCCTCATTTCCTCCTGGACAACTCAGGCTACAAACCCCCTCAGCCTGTCTGTCTCCAGTCTCCCGGAAGTGTCCCTCCCTGGGGTGGCAAGCATGAGTCTTTTTCTTGATGTTTTAGACCCATCCTGTGTTGTTCACAGGTGACACCCAGCTGCCCATATCTACCCTCTGTGAGAGACCCTTTTCACTGGTCCTACCTTGGAGCTCCCTCTGTGATATTTCAGCTTTACCACGGATCACCAAACATTACCAACTCCATGACCAGGAAGAGGGTGACAGCCCACTGGTTAGACAGAATTTCAGGGTGTCCTCAGCCTCCAGCATTGCAAAGTTTCTGCAAGACAGGGTCCCAGGCCAAACTTCTCAGCTGGGAGACCAAAGAGGACCAAGAACTCTTGGGCCTCACCTTACCAACCGAGCAGTAAGGATGAAAAACCCTGGAGCTAAGGCCAACACAATCTGTCTGATTCCTGCATTTGACCAGTTCTTGAGGCACGGGGCCTGCTTGGCCATACATAATGGAGTCCACCGCTACAAGCAGGGCTTCTTAAGTTGGTTCCCATCACTTGACTGAGGAAGCCACATGAATACCCATTGCCTCACCAGGCTTTTTTTCGCCTGCCTCTTACCATTTGGGCTGAATGGGGCTTTGTGTGGCCCTTTTGTGAGCAGAAGCCTGGAGAAGCTTTCTAATCCCTGCAAAAACAACCAAAACCGTCTCAAAGCATTGCTGAAAGTTGCCTAGGGTTTGAGGTTTGGCAAATTCCATCCTAGCTAAAAGCCCTAGGACTAAGGGTATTTTATTCATGAAGTATGTTTGAGAACTCTGCCTTCCGTTCAGAGGTACACCTATTTATGTTGTGCTCATCCATTTGGCTTCCTAGCATGTTTTGCTGGCAACTCTTTAAGCCCTGTTAATGTTCAAAAAAGAGGTTTATACCTACCAGAGGCCTCTTGACCTGGGAAACCCATCACCATGGACACATTTCAAACTGCAGTCCCATAAACCAGAGTTGTACATCTACCAGTGTGGCCACCGGGGAACTGGAAGGCACCTCAGCAGGGCTGGGCAGGGAATCTTTGTGGAGATGGGCCTGGTGGTCGGGGCCTGCCTATAGGATGCATTTGCCTGGTGCAGCCCTCCCCCCACAGCCATGTAACTGAATTTTCTCCTCTGTCCTTTCCTCAGGGACTACTTTATCATCTGTCCCATGGTCAACATGGCCAGCCTCTGGGCAAAGAGAACCCGTGGAAACGTCTTTATGTACCATATGCCCCAAAGCTATGGCCACAGCAGGTAAGGTACTCATGCGGCTGTAGCAAATGTAGACAGAGAAGGTCGCCTGGCAAGGGTCCCTGTCGCCACTATGATCCACAAAGAAGAGAAAGAAGGCAAGATGTGGCATGGGCCATTCCTCTGTGATGTGGGACAGGGCTTAACCATGTGTGCCTTGCCAACATCAGCTGCAAATGAGGCAGTGGTCAAGGGTACTTTTTTCCATGGTGTTTCTGCCTGGGAAAATGAAGTACAAACTTATGAGGACTTATACACCATGGAGGACTTGGAGCTCTGACTTAAGTTACTCTCTCTCTCCTGGGCAAGAAGAGAGACTTTTCTTTCCTAGGATCCTGCGAGTTTACACCTTTGAGAACTGAGTGCTTAAGAACTGACTTTCTGCTGGGCGGTGGTGGCACACACCTTTAATCCCAGCACTTGGGAGGCAGGGGCAGGTGGATCTCTGTGAGATCGAGGCCAACCTGGTCTACAAGAGCTAGTTCCAGGACAGGCTCCAAAGCTACAGAAAAACTCTGTCTCAAAAAAACCAAATTAAAAAAAAAAAACTGACTTTCCATAAAAGCAAGCATATTTTTTTATTTGTTTGTTTTTCTGTTTATTTGGTTTCATATTTCTTTTATTCTGTAGCTCAGGCTGGGCTAGCTCTCCGTATGTAGTCCAGGTTGGCCATGGACTCTCGTCAGTACTCCTATTTCAGCCTCTCAAGCTTTGGGATAGGAGACATGAGCTGCCAAGTCCAGCTGAGAGGTTTCTGTTTACTTCAATTTCTCCATCGTTCAGAAGAGGTTCAAGGGCCTGGTAATAAAATCCTGGGGTGAGACAAAAGCACCAGAACGGGAGAGAGACATGAGAGGCACAAGTAGGAAAGAAAAAATAATAGGACGGGAAGCAAGGAGCTACAGGAAGGATGCAAGGAGGCAGACTGGGGACATGGATGACAGTGTTTGGAGGGAGGGCTGTGTAGCCCAGGTTCTACTTCTGCCCTCACTGCATGTGGAAAGCCTATTCCAGCAGCAACGGAGATGCCTACATACAGGGCAGCCTTGGGTAAGGCCTTGACAGGAGTGGCATCCTGGTCTCAGCCTTAGAGTCTTGGAGGATGTGGTCCCATAAGACTGTGGTCTCTTCCACTCAGTGAAACCAGAGCTGGAGTGTGTCCGAACGGGCGACTTGGTTTTCGTAGCACCCAATGGAAACACAAGGAGTGTTTGTGAGGGTGGCAGATTGAGACGGTTGTCCCTGCTTCGTAGACAGAGGCATCTTGAGCCAATCAAGCCACTCTAATAGAGCACCTTACAAACAGCCCAGGCTTGTCACTTACAGTTGTGGAGGCTGAAGTCCAGTTTCAAGGTACCAGCACTTTGGGGCGTCTATTGAGGGCCGACCCTCACCAAGAGGCACCTCTGTGCAGGAAGGTGAATGAGTTCCTTGGGGCCTTGTTGATTCTATTTACATCAACCTTGTGAGTTAGTCCCCCAAAGGCTCAGCTCTTAAGACTAATAGACAGAGGATCAGTCTTAAACTTAGGAGTCTTGGAGGATCGCAGACACTTACTCTGTCTGAGGTTCTAGAAAGTTCAGCGTGCTCTCCCCTGTTTCCCAAGATGAGCATCTGGCTCAGTGCAGGGCAATGGCTGTCTCTGCACCTCCCTGTACGTGGTCTGTCTGCTTAGAGCTGTTTATAGTTTCTACCACACCGACTTCTAGAGTCAAACCGTGTCCTGGGGTTGAGGGTGGGAGGCTAAATAGCCTGCTGTAGCTCTCATGGGAGCATGTGGAAGGAAGGGAGGGAAGGAGGGAGGGTAGGAGGAAGGGAGGGAGGAACGAATGGATGAAGGAATGTTGAAGGAGCTCAGGAGTTTAGGCACAGTAGATGGAGCCACTGTGACCTGGAAGCCTACCACAGAACAAGTTCCTAGAGTCATCCTCGCCATGCCTGAATTCATGGCTCTCTGACCAGTATTTGCCTTCCTCTAGTGAGGCGGAGAAGCCACAGAAAGGTATAGGCCCTCCACAGCAAAGCCGGATCTTCAGTAGCCTTAAGAAGTTTGTATCTTTTTGTCCTGAATATTTACAGTAGCAGAGAGAGAGAGAGAAAGAGAGAGAGAGAGAGAGAGAGAGAGAGAGAGAGAGAGAGATCCACACGCGTCAGCAAAGGGAAAGGAAAGCACCAGCGTGCACACAGTTCCGGCAGAGTCAAGAGGGCATGAACCCTGGCTTGCTTTCAGAGTCTCCCTTGGGGAGGGCCCACAGACTTTGTGGCCTTCAAACAGCAGAAATGTGTTGTCCCATGTTTGGAAGGGCTGTGGGCCGGAGCGCCGATGTCATAGGGCTGGGGTCCTCCACAGGTTGTGGAAAGGGTGTGCCCGGGACCTCTGGCCTCTGGTTGCTTCAGGTATTGCTTACCAAAAAGAGCCAGTCTTTCTGCTCCCCAATTCCTTTCATACCTTGTGTGTATCCCTGTGTCCAAATTCCCACTTCTTGCAGGGACATCAGTCCTCAGTTGAACTCAGTCATATGATCCCGTTCTAAGGTACTGGAGTGAGGGTTCTGGCGTCTCTTTTGGAGAGGACACAGATGTACTCTCAAGAGCCCTTAGCCTCCTGCAGATCACAGAGTCCTGTGCTGGAGGCTTCTGGGGTCAAGGACCTGAAGTGGATAGTCTTTCAGGGAAGGACTTAACTGAGGCCGACAGCACCCTCCGTGTGCTAGGCTAGGCAGGGTTTCTCTCTGCTGGGTAACCTCTGCTTGTGCTTCTGAGCGCTTGCAGACTGGGCTCTTATCATGATCCTGGGGACCTTCATGGGACAGCCACACGCTGTGTCCGATTATGAAGGATCCTCATGACTCTCGACCCCTCAGTCTGAGGCTCTGTGTTCAAAAAAGGACTGGATAGGGGCTCACAAAACGGGGACTAAAGACTGAAGCTAGAAACCAAACCATCTCTCGTGACAGGTGGGAGACAAGCCTGCATTTCTGGTTTGTAGGCTCCCTGGGGCTAGTGCTATGGCTTGGAGCAAGCAGGTAGTGAGTCTGGAGGACCAACTACCCTGGAATCCATGGAACTTGGGCCCCAGACACCAATGCATCAAGGAGGAGGCAGGCTCTCTGAAATCAGCTCTAACTGTCTATCCTAGCCTGAGCTGTGTAATGCCCAAGGCTGTCCCATCATTTCCAGAGGAAAGACACGGAGACATCTGAAGCATGGCTATGTGCTCTGATGACAGGCAGGGACTCCATCGTCCTCTCCTTCCAGCTAGCAACATGCCCTTGACTCTCACCAGCTACTGACCTGAGGCAGGTCATGTAGTCTTCTTGGTGACTTGGTTTCTTCATCTGAACCAGCAACACAGGAGTAGGACCTCTCTCTCAGGGCTACTCAGTAATGGATTTGTGTGTAGACCGGGGCCTAGGTGACAGAATTCCCACTGTTCTCAACAATCTCCCCTGTCACGGCGGTCACAGTGAGGAGCCATCGATGTAGTAGACTTGGCAGTTACTGAGCAGATCAATGAAAGAACTTGAGACTTTTGGCAAGTCCTCTTTTTACTGCTCCAAACTCACCCTTCCCCACAGCTTCCTTTTTCTACCCTCTCCCTCTAGCTTCTCCCCCTCCCTCCCCCTTTCCTTCCCTCAGCTTTCTCTCTCTTCCCCCAAGCATCTCTTCTCTCGTTTTATTTCTGGTTCGTGTGTGTGTGTGTGTGTGTGTGTGTGTGTGTGTGTGTGTGGTGTGTTACATTCCCCCCGTCTGTCTCCTGCCTCTGTTCTGTTGGCATGCAGCAACTTCCTGGCAAGGGCCAGCAAGCAGACGCTATACCACCCCCTTCCATATAGAGCACTGCTCAGATGTCGCAAAACGGCAGTGTGGCACTCTTGTGCCCACCACACCACGGATAAGCTGTCCTTTCTGCTGAGAGCAGGAGACCAATGATGCTGGGGCAAGGCCAGAGAATCCCTGTCCTTGTAGACTTCGAATGCCAAGACTGTAGATGGGAGGAAACTCTCCTTGGCTCTCACTCTTTCCCCTGCTTTATTGACTGTTTCATCTAAGCACGTTCCCTTGCCGCAGTGTTCTTGCCTGTGAAATGGGTGTTGTGTCTTCCACTTCATCTTTGGAGTACGAGAATTAAAGACAATATATGTTCAATATCCAACACTCTGCAGACCTTTCAGTGTTTATAATCAGAATTTGGTTATTTTAAGGAATTAATAAAACTCTCCTAGGAAAGAAAGGAAGTAAAGATGACTATGAAGGCAGTCATGTTCCTCCTTTAAATGCTCCCCGGTTGTGGGAAACAGAACTGTGAATTTTAGCCTTGAGATGTTTCAAACACCACTGGTCTACATTCTAGATACTTTTGTGCATTCCCGGGGCCTGCTTATTCCAGATCCAAAATACCATCTCTTTAGCCCGTTATCTTGGTGACTTTGCAGAAACTGGCAAGCCAAAGAAAACATCATCGAGCTGGATTCTTGAACTGGGTCCATGGGCCACACATCCCATGTGATCCTTAAGATTCTCTCCCAGGGTGGATAAAAGCCAGGCTCTGCTAACACTGCCCACCACACGCTGCAGTGGTCCATCCACTCTCCAGTCCTCTTCCACTCTGACATGACAGAGGCCTGCCTGCTATGGAGCAGACAGCAGAGAGCTTACCCGTCCGTCTACACACATGCGGGTAACTTGGCAGTGCCAGGAGGGAGGAACCCTAAGGTGCTGGGTTCAGTGCTGAGGGAAGGACCAAGTAAAACTGCAGAATTTGAGCTTCCAACCTGAAGGGTGGAATGGCACTAGTGCAAAAGTGAACCCCAAAAATGGTGGTCAGGTGCCAGGGCCCTGAGGTGGCAAAGGCCTACATGTCTTTAGGTAAAGAAGGCCGGGCAACTGGGGTCTGTTGAAGATGAGGGAAATGGCTGCAGCTGTGAGGAAAATTGGCGGGTCTCATCACTTTTATAGGTATTTATCTAAGTGTGAGAAGAATATCATTGCACTCAGTGTTTTTTATTTTCAAAGACATGTCATGCACAGTGTACAAGGATCTTGTCCCTCACACCCGAAAACGTGACTCAGAGAAACACTGTAACTTGATAATGGTTCATGAGATATAAAACAAGAATCCCAACGTCCAATATGGTGGTCAGTCACTCAGAAACGGCCATGCTAGGTGAGAAGAGACAAGTGTGACTCAGATGCGAGGGGTGGGTTTTTACGTGGAACCTGTACCTGTGTTCCTTCCCTTCCTCTTCCATCTCCAAGTGTGAGGCCTAAGTAGGACGTTGCTGTTTTCGGATCCCCTTCTGAATTTCCTGCAAAGACCATAAACTTAGTGTGTGTTCCTCAATTTGATTTCTAGGCTGGGCCTCTTGTAAATGGAGTAGCTGCGTGGTAGACAAAGCATTTAATGAGCCCGACGGTAGCTCTCGGAAGACGCTGAGCCTGAGTGCCCGGGGAATGTGGGGTCTGAAAAGTGCTGATTTGTGTTCGTGGCAATTTATGGAAAGAGTCAGGTTTAGTTCAGTTTAGTCCAACCAGTCAACTAGAAGCCACGACTGTCCCACAAAATAGTATACCATCAGCTCTGCTAGGCGCTGAGGAGGCCAGAAACACTGCTGCACTCTGGGTAATTTCTGAGATGGAGTTGGATACCTCCAGGGCACCGTGTTCGTAAGAACTTCCTCTGGGGGCACAGGTGGGACCAGAATGTGTGAAGTAAATTGGAAGCTCACCTTTAAAAGGTTGCACAGGAACGCACATGGTCTCTGAGGCCCACGATGACCTCCTGATGCATTCAGGAGCAGGATCTCAGTTTCTCAGATTTACCCAAAAAGAGACATGAGCCAGGTACTTAACAAGTCCGTGGTGTCTCTACAACAAGCAAAGAGGCCAGAGGCCGTGGAACCAAGACTTCCCCTCCTCCCTTTCCCAGACTTCCTTCAGAGGAAGGGCTGTGGGGCTGGGGTATGCTTTGTGGGTACAAGGTCAACGTGCTTCCTCTTACGCTGAGAACTTCAGGATCCCTGTGGTTACAGACTCATCCCCAAACCTGTCACGTGGTTAGGGCCAGTGGGTCTCTTCCAGTATTGCCTCTTACCCTGTCATCAGGAGGGTGATGACTTCCAGCACACAAACTGTAAGAAATGTCGTCACTATCTCTACCCCAGCACCGCACTCTCTTCTTGGTTGGAGGAGAGCCCAGCTCAGCCACCTTCCGGCTCAGGCTATTATTTAGAGTTCTTTGGGGACAGCGCCTGTTACTGTTTTCTGCCGCGCTTAGGGTTGTGGCTCCTGGCCATGGAAGTCAGCAGCGAGCACTTCTTTCAGTCTGACCACACTCTGGCTCCCTGGCAAGGATTTAAGTTGAGCGGGGCTGAGGTAAAGTCAGAGATCTCACATGGATTCTGTAGCAGTGGTGACTCTGCCTCAGCTCAGGCTTCTTTCCAGGAGGCTCAAGTCCATGGTCAAAGGCTCTCTGCCTCAGACACTACCCAAATTCCCCACCTTTTCCGGCCTGATTTGCAATCTTCAGGACTCGGCTCTTACCTGACTCTCAAATGGAACCTGGTGAACACAAGGAAACATGCCATCTGTCACTCCTTGGATTTTTCTAGACTAGGAAAATGACCCCTTTTGATTCTCAACATGGAGCAGTTGTCAGTAAGGGTGTGAGGCCTAGAGGCCTATTGCCTACTAGAGGCTCACTTCAGTCACGACACATATGTACTGACCCCCTACCAGTGTCCGGTGCTAGGGCGCTACATGAGCAGAAGTCACCCTTGAGGAGCTGACAGATTACAGATAAAGCGCCAGTGCAGAAGAGGGACTTGAAACTGGCCATGTTTTATGATTTTGCTCATTGAGGAACAAGCATCCAAAGATGATATAGGTATTGCAGCTAAAATAGAGTCAAAGGGTCATCCTGGAACATTACCTGGTCATCCTTTCTCAGCAGCCAGTGAGCCTCAGCCACCACATTTGCCATGGGTCTACCCCAGACCAGGTTAGCCCCTGGATACAGGCCCAGTAGGATGTCACACTAAACAGGCATCCTACACATGGTCGGAGGTGTGAGGCGGCTTTGTTTTAAATGGAGGCCTGCGAGGTTTGGGTTCATATTTACCACCTCACGCTTCTTGCCTCTCTTTCCCTGTTTCCTCAGCCTAGAATTGCTGGCAGACGTGCAGTATGCTTTTGGACTGCCCTTCTATCCTGCCTACCAGGGCCAGTTCTCGACGGAGGAGCAGAGCCTGGCCCTGAAAGTCATGCAGTACTTCGCCAACTTCATCAGATCGGGGTATGTGGTCCACTGTTCTCTGAATCCCATCACGTGCTCCCTCCCAGCCCTGCAGCTGGATGCAAAGGCCGCATGTTTTATCAGTTGACTCAAAACTGCGGTTCTCTCTTACCGTATCCCCGTCTTGGCTTCCCTGTTTCTAATCAGACAATCGTTATAGATAAGTCGTGAAGAAATCTTCCAGCTGAGTCCTTTTTTGCTCAGACCATTGATGCAATAAGTCGGGGTTTCTTTAGCCTCTGTACTGTGGACACTTGGGACTGGCTAACTTGTGTGTGTGTGTGTGTGTGTGTGTGGTCTCTGTAAGACAATTGACAGTATCTCTCTAGTCTCTGTCCACTAGATGCCAACAGTATACATTGTGCTATTTGCATAGTTGTGGCAAAATACCTGACAAACAGTCCATGAAAGGAAAGGTTTATTTGAAGTCCCAGTTCCCCAAGGTTTGTCCTTGGTGGTTTTCCCTAATGGACAGTAGCACATCACAGCAGCAGAGGTGTGTAAAGAGACCTTCTTACCTTGTGGAAGACACAAAAGAGAGAGAGAAGGGAGGTCAGGAGGAACAAGGCGCATTATATTCCCTGATTCTGTTCTCCACTGACCCAGTTCCTCCAGGGAGGCTTTACCTCCAAGAGATCCAGACATCTCACGAGAGCCTCACAAGCCAGGAATCAGGCATTCAGCATGTGAACTTGCAGGAAACATTTTACATTCACAACACAGCACTCAATCCTGTTCTACTTATGAGAATCAAAAATGTCTCTGGCAGTCAGGTATGACAGTATCACCTGTCACCCCAGCCCACAGGCTGAGGCAGGAGGATTGGGATTTCCAGGCCACCCTCATCTGTGCAGAAAGACCCTGTCTCAAAAAAATAAATATTAAAAAAAATCCATAGGCATTGCCTCATGTCCCTTGGGGACAGAACAATGGGAGGAGAGCCTTTCTGTGCCCCATGGGTGCACTACCACCTAAGAATGTCAGCTGTGGTGTGTCATCCTGGCATTCCGGTGCTCCCCCCTCCTCCCCAGCAGCCTCCGGTCCAGTCCTGGGGTACACCGCTTCCCAGATGCACTCTTCCTCCCCACTCCTGGTAGTTTTTCTACTTCCTTTATCTCAAAGTTCCCTGAGGGAGGAGAGAGGTGCCTGGCGCAGCCACAAGCTATTAACAACCTCAAACAGGCAAAGCAGAGCAAGTAAAGCTTTGTGAAGTTTGCCATGGAAGCCGAAGGAAAGGGGCATTTCTTGTTAGAGATTTAGAAAAGGTTCTCCTGAGTAAGCAGTAACCACACAGGACTTTCAAGCCTTTCAGATGAGCTAAGAGAAGCTTCTCTGGGGATGGGGCAACCTGAGCCAAGGCAGATGCTGAGGGAGCACTCCAGCTATGAAGATGGAACTGGTAGGATGGGGTATCAGATCCAGAGAGTAAAATGAGTCCTAATGATGACATCTGGAATATGGAGATAGCAAGATGTTCTTAAGACGCTTGCAGAAGGGTGAGCTAAAAGCTGACATAATGAGTGTTCATCTTTCTTGGGGTCAGGGCTGCTATCTGCACCCAAGTTCAGAGCCTCCAGGGGAGGGATGCTTTGGTAGAAGAGTCTAAATGGCAGGTTTTGTCCCATGAAAAGTGAAGAGTGGATGATGATGGCTAGATCTTAACATGCTTTAGATTCTCATCTCTGCTCTGAGGTTCCGAGGCCAAATGACTTTGTTGAGAAAATGAACCGTCATAGCCTGGAGATAAATCCACCGTCCTGTTACCTCTGGAGGCAATATCTCTTTCATGGGACCTTAGTCTATGGGTTGTAAGGTGACCTCTGACCCCACCTTCTTATGCATGCTTAGATAAGCAAGGGCCTTCAGAAACTGGGTGTGGCATCCAGATCAAAGGACACCAAAGTAGAAGGGGTACCTGAGTCTCCAGAGCATTCAGAAAGATGGGGTCACACTAGGTCCTGAGTGGTACCACTGGGTCATGAATTGCATATGGCCTGGTAGAGATGACTTCAGAGAACTTTTGTGGCCTAGTGCTTTATAATAACACTATTCTAGGGTCCCAGCTGGAAGCTGGAGCAACTGAGTTCCTATCTGGAACTCAGTGTTGAAGGATTTGCCCTTGCAGGCCAGAGCAAGTAAGATGTGATATCAAGAGTTAAAAAGGGAAGATGCATTTCCTCCAGAGTCATTGCTTTCTTCTCGTTTCCCTAGAAATCCCAACTACCCACATGAGTTCTCAAGGAAGGCAGCTGAGTTTGCAGCACCCTGGCCTGACTTTGTCCCTGGAGCTGGAGGAGAGAGCTACAAGGAGTTCAGCGCCCAGCTTCCCAACCGCCAGGGCCTGAAACGAGCTGACTGCTCCTTCTGGTTCAAGTACATCCAGGCTCTGAAGGATGCAGGTAGTAGTGGCCTGGGGGCTACGAATTTAGGAGTGGTGTTAGATTCAGTGATTCAGTGCCTACTGATTAGCTGTGTGCTGGCTTCCATTGCATGCATGGAGGCCACCAGGTCACTGGGTACTAGGTGCATAGCCCCTTTTTATGAGGTGAGCACAGTCCCAAACTGTTCCTCTGCCAAGAGCCTCCTGTTCAGATGGGGAAGATGAGAAGTAAGGGTGAGGCTCAAAGAGAGGGCACTGGACAGAGGGAAGGAAGGAAATAGGAAGGTAGAGTGATAAATAGCAGCCAGTTCCAGCCAGTAGCACCCATGTAGAAAGAGAAACATGTTCAACCTCTTGTAGCCATTTGCCTGGATACATAGAAAATTTTAGAGAAAGGGAAATGGTAAGGCACAAGATGGTATTCCCACTTCCTGCTACTGGGGCTTAAGGGGTCAAATGGACCATGCTATGATATTAGGACCGTAGGAACAATATGATATCCTTAAGAAACTTCCAGGAGAGTAAGGAGATGATGTGAATATCCTTCTTCTTTCCTTTCACTTGAGTACCTGTACCCAAGGGCCTGCACCCAAGGGCCTGAAGGGGTCACAGAGGAGGGATAATTTGAGGTAGGGTCCAGAATGGAAGTCCTGCTGACAGGGAGGGAGAGGTGGAACATCAGGGAAGAGATCTTTGTCTAAAGTGTTTTGGACTCTCAACTCTGCTTTATCTTCCTAAGTGAGTTCCTTGACATACCAAAGGACCATAGCATGTCCCTGCATCCCAGAAATGAATCTAATATTAGTAGGGAATTGATAAGGAATGAATCTGGTCTTGGGGTCTCTTAACAAAGGATCCATTCTGGTACAACCTACCTTTCCTTTCTGTTTCAGATGGAGCCAAAGATGACCAGTTAACCAAGAGTGAAGAGGAAGGCTTGGCAGTGGGATCTGGGCTAGAAGAAGACTTCTCAGGCTCCTTGGAGCCTGGCCCTAAGAGTTACAGCAAATGACCAGCCCTGAGACCACCTATTCACCCTGCCAGTTTCATTTCAAACTACCCAACATGGTGGTTTTGCTATAAACAACCATAAGCTTTTAATAAAGTGTCTGCGCTCAGCAAAACATTGGTGATTCTGAGTTGTGATTTCAAAGCAGTTCTTGGTGACACTACAAGAGGTGTTCATGTAAATCTTGCTGAGATTTGGCTCCAAAGTTACTGGGTTGTCAGCAATATTTATAAAGTATCTACTCTGCTTCCATAGGAAAGAAAGGTTCCTGTCCTTCTGAGAGAGGAAGTCTGACCAACAGAAGACAGCAGCACAGAAAATGGAGCTCCATCAAAGGCGGGGGCTCCAGAGAGACAGTCTCATCTAAGGGAAGGAAAGTCCAGAATGCAAATAGGAGAACTAGGCCTAGGGCAACAGTATAGCCAGAGGCAAGGAGGTCTAAAGCCTTGTTTGATGGTGGAAATGGATGGAACAGGAGACTAGCACTGGAGACTTTGATTATGTATGATAAGGAGTGGGTAACAGGAAAACAGGATTACCCAAGCTCCAGGACAGGCATCTACTTTCTACCTACTCCCCCTAAAGGGAGCGCTGGTGAGAGCAACTCTTTCTGTCTCTGTCAATCTGTTTGTCTGTCTCCCCCCCCCACATCTCTCTCTCTCTTTCTCTCGCTCTCACTCTCTCTCTCTCACACACACACCCAAAGGCTAAGTTGGAGCAGGTGGAAATCATTAGCACTCTCTGTCATTTGCATGACACATCATAAAATGTGTTCACACCCATCCTCTCACTTGAGTTCAGACCAAACTCTGTGATGCTTTGCAGGTTAGATGGGGCGCAGCAGGTCTAGTGAAGTGTTGGGATTTAGAAAAGAGTAGGGGAGGGAGATGAGGTCTAATTCAGTTTCATGCCTTAGTGGGACTCAGAAGCATATGCTAGCCCAGTAAGTTTAGGTGGCGTAGGGCAAGTCCTTTGACTCAGTGGCTCCCAGCTGTGGCTTGTTAGAATCATCTGAGAACTTTTGCAAACCCTAGTACTCTGGCTTCCCAAGGACCACACCAGGAAGCAGCAGGATGGCTGCTCTTTATAATAGAGAATATGGAAGTTTCACCATCAGATGGATCAGTTATGCTTATTGGGTGGGCATCATTTGCCAAGGTACAAAATGGAAGCAGTTTTAACTTTCATATGGCTGCTGTTTTGCAGTAGTCACGATAGTGTCCCCACCAAAGCTGTGCCAGCCAAATCCCTGGGACTTTGGGTGGCATGTAGACATATAGTCGATAATTGCTGGCCGTAAGGAGCCAAGAATTACCTTTATCTACTGTAATGCTAAGAGCCATTTAAGGTAAACTGAGGAGGCAGAACTGCAGATCAGAGGGAGGATGGCCTGGAAAGACCATGCTTCGGCATTGCTGGTGTTTAAGATGGAGAGAATGGGATGTGAACAAGGGAATGTGTGCAGCTTCCAGAGACTGGAAAAGCAAGGAGATGATTCTCCCCCAGGGCCTCCAGAATGAGTACACCCTGATGACATGGTTTTAGCTCACTGGAGATTCTTGCCTGATTTATGATCGACAGAAGTATAAAGCAATGGACCTGAAAGTTGGCAGTAATTGTTATAGCAGCCATTGAAAGCTAATGCATTGTTATGCCTGTTCACATGTATATATGTATATGTATGTATATATATATATATATGAATGTATGTATGTATCTTCTCATGCCCTTGACCAAGCCACAGGCATAGATAGATATTTTCCTGAAAATAAAACATTCACTGCACTCTAGTTTAAGATTGAAACTCCAGATACACCAATATTACCACTAAAAATGGATGGCTCCCATTTTGCCACCTGGTTAGACTGAGGGTGGAACACACTGACTATCTCTATGAGCCCTGTATGTGTGTGGTTGGGTACTTCAGGATGGGGAAGAAAACCTTCTGTTACAGGGGTAATGCCTGATTGGTAGATTGTCCTGTGTATTGTGAGAACTAGTGCATGTGACCAGGAAAGTGTGAAGCTGTCAGGGTCTACAGGTCCTTGAGGTTAATGATGAATCTTAGGTACCTTCTATGTGACAGTCCAGTCCATGAGAAAGGTAAAGAAGAGAGACATCAAAGGTCAAGCCATCACAGCACTGCCCCACAACAGCATTGGTGAAATTCATATAGCCAACATCCAATAGTAAAGATGTTTGTCTACAGGGCACCCGGGCCCCTGGAAAGATAAGAGTGGAGCAGCACACTGTCAAGTGCCTGGCCAACCTATGGGAGCTGCTGCAGAGCTCCGAGCTCCAGACTTCCCATAATGTAGTTTCTTAGAGCTGGTGCCATGGAGATTGTTGTAGCCCAGCCCTATGAGTAGAGGGACAAGGTTGTTTGACTCAATGAGGCATCAAATATAGAAAATAGCTTATCAACTTCGGACTCCACTTGGCCTGAGCTATGGGCACACTCCTCTCTGAATATGTCCAGCAACCGATCAACAACGCAGGTCCCACACCTGCACAGAGCTGCCTTGCTACGGGCTTTAACCCATGGGGAAGAGAACCACTCCCCTCCACTTCCACATTCTTCTTCCAGTCAAACACATACTGGAACGCATTCCAGGAACTGGGTTGGTTGCATGTGCAATGATGCAAAACTGTTTTCCCGAGTGTTTAGGGAGGAACCTCCCCCTAAACACTTACCCCTGTGTATAAATGGATATGTGCATTATCAAAACCGGATGCATTGTGATGGTATGGGAGGTCTTTCTGTACATGTGTTGCTTCCATTGGTTGATGAACAAAACTGCTTTCAGCCAATGGCTTAACAGAGTAAAGTCAGGCAGGAAATCCGAACAGAGATGTAGAAAGAGAGTAGGCAGAGTCAGTGAGATGCTTTGTAGCTGCCTAAGGAGAAAGCCACCAGTTGGCAGACAGAATGTTACCTGGTAAACCACCGCCTTATGACAATACACAGATTAATACAAATGCGTTAATTTAAGAAATAACAGCTACCTAAAAATATGTTTGAGCTATTGGCCAAACAGTGTTGTAATTAATATAATATGATATAATATAATATATTATGGTCACAGTGTTGGATAAATGTATGTAGTCTTGATAGAGAAAAAAAGAATATAGACAGTTATAATATAAAAGAGTACAGACAGTCATAGCTTAAAGGAGTAAAGACAATAAAATAAATCTTAAACTTGTGAAAAAAGTAATAGAGTAAGAAAAATAAGTCATGCAAAGATAGAATATACACAGAGAGTCTGGATTGTGTATATTGTGCTTTCTTTGAATTCTTGACTATGAATGAGCTAAGTACAGAGAGACCTTTCATTGTACAGACTGCTAAGCTAAACCAACATATATATTTTAAAGATATATTGACTTCAATATTTGGGTCTAAGAATATGTTGACTTCGAAAAGAGGTCCTATTTTTGTTTCTACAGAGGATAAGAACCTGTAGATTCCTTCCAGATTAGTGTGGTTTGATCAAACAAGACCCCCTAAAACAATGGCCCAGTTGGTCCAGCATCTATGACAGTTTCAGGACTGCTGGCTGAAATGGATCTACCACACAGGATACCCATGACAGACCTGATTAACAGTACCCCCAATTAGCAGGAAATAGTCTAGACAACAATGCCCAAATTCCCTAAATGATTTTTCATAAATGTTTGTTTACATTTAAAGGGGGATACGCTACAGATATAAATAATTTGCATTGATATGTATCTTGGTCTATTGATACAAATTTAAAGTCAGTTTTGTTTTATGTATATTTCTGCCCTTTATTAAGGTATGGTGTTTGTATAGTTCATTTTAAAATGTAATGTATAATGAAGAAATACAGGTTAATAGATTGTCATCTATAATAGTCAAGTTTGTAGTCATGTTAGTTAGGTTTTCTAGATATAGAGAGATATATTTCAGTTAGATAGATAATCTTCAAACCTTTAAAAGACCTACAGAATATGGCATTTAATATGTTTTAAGAACATAAGACTTTTAATGACAGTGAGGCACATCTGTTCCTGGCAGCACCAATCTATTTCAAGAGGATGATGAGCATCAAAGAGGCTCCTTATGAAGTTGGTTAGCCATTTGGGCAAGAAACTTCTCTTGCCTGTATGAACTGGACATGCAGGACCCACAGAGAAATGACTGCTGAACTTGCCTAAAATTGAGATGATTCTTTGGGGTTCCTGCTTCATAAAAGAGTCTGCCAGACATTCTTCAGGACACAGAAGAAAGTGACTGACAAACTGCCAATATAGGTGGAACTGTCTTTAAAATTTCCTGCTTCTTGGAAAAGTCTGCCAGATACTATGTGCCAGTAGTTTGAAGATAAGGTGCCCTCCACATTACAGAAGAACTTTGGGTGACTGTCCAGGCAGCAAGATGTCTCTGTCAATTCTAGAGTTTTGGAAGTTGCTTACAATGTGCTTTCTGTTTACTTAAGTAATATTATATACTTCTGGAGTCTTTGATGGAGCTGAAGAATAGATACAGTTTTTCTTAGTTATGATAAAAGAAAAAAGTAGATATAAATATTATAACTATAATTCTTGATTGATACCTCTTTTGTTTTATGTAATTTTACTATGTTAACATTAAAACTTTCCCTTTTATCTAAACAGAAAAGGGGAAATGGTGTGGATGGTTCTTCTATATATGTGTTGTTTTTATTGGTTGATGAATAAAGCTGCTTTCGGCCAATGGTTTTTCAGAGTAAAGCCAAGCAGGAAATCTAAACAAAGCTGTAGAGAAACGAGTATGCAGAGTCAGTGAGAAGCCATGTAGTCACAGAAGGAGACAGGTGCCTCTGCTGGAACCCGCCAAAACTTTGTCAGTAGGCCACAACCTCGTGGTGATACACAGTTTAATGGAGATGGGTTAGTTTAGAATATAAGAGCTAGCTATAAAATACAATTAAGCTATTGGCCAAACAATATTGCAAATGATAGTTTCTGTGCAATATTTTTGGGTATGAGCAGTCAGGAACAAACAAATAGCTTCCAACTACATTATGAAAAGGGACATTTGAGTAGAGAAATGATCAAATGACCTAATCTATCAAGAACTGTCCAAATTGTGCCTCTTAGTAACCAAACTC